TTCAGCACGGCTCAGCCGAGCCGATGCATATGCGTTCGGCTCGGCTGAGCCGCTCGGCCATGATCGGGAGCTGTACGGGCTATTGTTATTCTACTGAACCGAAGGGGTCCTGGGGCCGAAGCTATGGCCAGATCCTTTGGCAGCTTCGTGAATAGACCCCTTGGTTTCTAAAAGCTGAAAGTGAAGTTTGGTTGCTGGAAGGGTATGCACAGCAATAAGGAGCTTATCAATGGAAATGGAGTGATTCTGGATACAGGTACTGTGCTTATGTGGTAATAGTGGTGGGGGATTAGGGAGAAGAGGCAGCATTACAGAACCATTATTAAAGTACACCTGTCATAAGGCTGCTAGTCTCTCTGATGCCAGCACTTCAGTACTTTCTGAAATGCTGACCGGAAACAGATATACAGTAAAGGATTTATGATGCCCCATTACAGCAAGCTTATGCCAGGTCTTTAATGAAAGCTATTGAAGCCAGACGCAGCCTGACTAGTATTTTCAGTAGAAAGCCAGTACCCTTACTTTTCTCATAAAAGCTGTACTTAGAAAAAGTTTGGCTTTAAAATGCCAGACAGCGAACATAAAAAGTGATAAATGAACTCTTTCTGGATGCGTGGGACAAATTATACATGATAAAATAAACTCTCACCTTGTTAGGCTGAATGAGCCATTGGCTTGATTTCAGAGGCGTACTCCTGAGAGCTGGAGTTGGGTGGACAAGGGTAGGAAGGCCCCTAAGGCACACCAGCCTTGCAGCAAGCATCTTGGATCAATCTCTGCAGATCTAAAAAGGAAAAAGGAGTATTAAAAAGTGTATCTGAAGACAATCTCATCCTGTTTTGGATAGAGTAGGGAAGGGGATCTTGCAGGATTGTATTGATGTCTGTGTTCCTGAAGAGGAGATTCACCTTTCATCATCCTGAGAGGCACACCAGCCTTGCCACCAGAATTTAAAAGGGAGGGAAAACACAAAAATATTAAAAAGAAGAACTATGAGGTTAGTGCTTTTCACTCACCTCATAGTTCTAGCCGACCTGTGACAATGAGACTGTCACAGGTCGGCTCAGTAGATCGGGAGCTGAGCGAACACATACCGGGTTCGCTCACCTCTCGATCCTGCAGATAAAAAACTCAAAGGATCTGTTACCTTTTTTTAAATTTTACTAGCTTTTAGTGTAGAAACACACTTTTTTGCCTGGGGTAGAGTATAACTTTCATAAAGTTATACTCACCAGATCCTCTGAGATGGCTGGCTCTTCAGCTCTTCTGAGATGGCGGTCCTGCAGCCTCACAGATCCTTGAATCATCACATCCCATACACTGTATACATGTGAGGATCCCGAGGATTGCTGCAGAGAAGGAGGAGACAGGCAGGATGGAGTGATGTCACAGCCGGTGTTCTATCGAAAGCTAACTTATCGAGATCTCCAACTACCTCACTTCCGGTGCTCAGAAAAACTGGGGCTCTGTACAGTTGCGGTGCGCATGCACACATACTGTTTTCAGAATGTGCCTGTGCTATCACATTAGGGGGATTGTTAAGTGTAAAAAAAATAATATATAAAAAGGAAGAAAAAAGTCAAAAAATAATAAAAGTGACATGTAAAATATGTAAAAATATGTGCTTGATTTTTAGGATTTAATTCCTGAGTTTAGTGTCACTTTAAAGCACAACTCCTAGGAAATTAAACAATTTTCCCATGCAGCCCCCGCACTGCAAAAGTTAACTGTTCATTTAGGTCTAGGGACAGGAAAAAGACGTTTTAGTTACCTCATCCCCCACCGGCTCCCTCTGGGCTGCTAGACTGGTCCCCGCAGCCTCTTCTCTCCTTTGCTCCAGCAGTCTAAGGACTGCCGACATCACAAAGTACAATGCAGGTTTCATTGCCCTGCATTATATGTCAGGACTCAGAGGGACAGTCTAGAGCTGGAGCAGAGGAGAAAAAGAGCACAGACTTCTGGGTAAGTGGGGATCAGGTACGTATAACAGCTTTTTTTCCTGTCCCCTAGGCATAAGGAGCACTTACAGAAGAACTCTGGGGAAAAAACGATTATTTCTTGGTAAAATATAAAAGGCGGGCTCACATCGTGTAAAAAGACACCAAACATGTCAAGCCTTAAAACCTGAAAAAACTACAATACCCAAAATTGGCCCTAGGCGACGCTTTAAAAGCTTTTACCTCTCATCAGTTTAGTGTTCTCAGTGATTGAAGACCCTAGAACTATTGCTCTCACTGCGACGTTCGCAGCTATATGCAACATGTGTAGCGCAATTTACGTTTTCCCGCGCTGGGGCATCTGACGCGTGTTTACGTTTACATGTGCGTAAATGTGGGGCTTAAAACATTTTTTTTTTTTTACTTTTAATGTTATTGCTATCACGTGATCGCACAGGCACACTGACAGGTCCTCTTTATGGAGAAATTAGGGGTCTCCAAGACCCCTAATGTCACCTGGGGACCCCCAAATAAGCTGATGAAGCAGAGGACTGCTTCATCAGCTTCTTCTCTCTGGCAATAGCAGCCAGATGACTGACAGGTGAATGTGGAAGTGATGTATTACACATCACTTCCACATTCACAGTACAGAGGGAGTTCAGCAAGGAGGAAGATGCTGATCTCCCTCCCATCTTCCTCCTGACAACCTCCCGAGCCGGTGCTGGGCCGCAGATGGGGTAGCGTATCCCGGAATTTAAAGTGAGGGTGCAGGAGGGGGGGGCGGCGCTCGAGGAGGGCACGCAGCCAGCACATACAACCGATCGGCAGGCTATAGAGCCGCCGATCGTTTGTATGTCAAACAGTCGGTAACGGAAAAAAAAAAAAAATCTGTCTATTTACGGTAACCCACCAATGGGAGTTTGCCGTCCGTCCGTTTTTTCACAACGGGCACCATTGCAGGGATTTATACATATTTTTCCTGGAGTTCTCTTTAACCCTTGCAGTGCTTTCTAAGTGTGTTACGTTGGCATTGATTTCAATGTCACCCCAATGCACGTATTCTGGTGGCTGTGCCCACAGTGGGTAAAAGTAGCACATGCACACTGGAGGCGATGTACAATAGAATGCACTAAGCGTATGGCAACATGTGATAAGCTGCTACCATGCATGCTCCAGTGTGAACGGGCCCAGAAAAAGACACAGGCAACAAAATAAACTGACAGGGAATGTAAACATTTCCTCAACTGCCCAGCTAACTAAATCAGAAGTTGGCCTTTAGTTATACCCGACCATATCAACTCATATATACCAAGTCAGAAAAGGACTGAGTGATCAAAGGTATATAACGAGCAAATACCGCATACACGTATGAGACACTGAACTATAATAAACACAATTATCACTTACCCACCTGACCAGCCTCAAAGATAAATAACAAAGACAAAACGGAAAACACTCCGCACACCGACCTCCAGCCAAACTACTACGACATAAACCCTACCGGCCTCTGATGTAACTGCCTGCAAGCTTCCGGAACCTTCCCGGGTAAGAAGTTCCGCTGCGCAAAGCATGTCGGTGAACGTAGTTTTCTTTTACTCTCCACGGTCCTAGAACTGGGGGGGGGACAAGAATAGCTCAATACTACAATTCCCACAAACCCTTTCTTCTCTGTGAAGGGCACAGCGCAGTGTTATGATGTGTGTTACGCAACTAGTCCTGTGTGTGTTCTGCCTTCTATTGCTGTAGAATGACATATACATATTATATATATATTATAAAACAAAGAATGCTTGGTGTTCTGCATGTGTTTTATTACATAACATTAAAGAACAACTCAAGTTAGGCACTTTACCGTTGCTTTGTTGGGGTTGCACCACTGCAAGGGCAAGGGTGAAGTGTTAGCTTTTGCATAGGGTCAAAAATAATAAAGTTATACTCAGCTGAACATCGGATTTTGGGTGTTCTATCGAAAGTTCCAATTTATCGAGTTCTCCAACTGCCTGACTTCCGGTTTAGTTGGAACTAAGAGATTTGGCCAAGAAAGCTCTTGTGCACGAGCGCCAACCGCGGCATTGCCCTATACACATGATACACCACAGCAATTAAGTATTACAATGAACTAGGATCACACTAATCCAGCACGTTATTAATCTCAGGTGCCCCACTCAAGTGACGGCCATATTGAGTGGGGAACCTCAGATTAATAACGTGCTGGATTAGTGTGATCCTAGTTCATTTTAAAACTTTAGTGCCCATTCACACTGGGCATTTGCACGATTTCCGCCGCGATATCACGAGAAGTCGACGTCCAATGATTTTCAATGGAGCTGTTCTATTAAACAGCTCCATGTCGATCGCCGCTCGTTGCTGTCGCGTGTGCGGGACCCTTTTTCCCCGGCGCGATTTTGCTATTTTTGCATGCAGCCCGACGGTGAAGGTCGTGCGATCGTCGCTGGAACGTCGCGTGGATCCGTTCGAGGTAAGTGTCGCTTAGTGTGAATGGGGCCTTATTGCTGTGTGCTATGTGTATAGGGCAATGCCGCTGCTGGCGCTCGTGCACAAGAGCTTTCTTGGCCAAACCTCTTAGTTCCAACTAAACCAGAAGTCAGGCAGAAGTGAGGTAGTTGGAGATCTCGATAAATTGGAGCTTTCGATAGAACACCGGCTGTGACACATCACTCCATCCTGCCTGTCTCCTCCTTCTCTGCAGCAATTTGTACACTCTAAAGTAAAAAAACTGTAAGCAGTACAATGTGCTGAAACAGCACATCTCACCACCCACCGAAGCTGTCAGGACACACTAGCCTGCCCGATAAAGCAGTGTGAACAGGCCCTCAAAGAGGAAGTTCTCCCTATAATTTGTCTATGAACATTAAACAGCAATATAACACGTGTAGCTTGATAAATACATAGCACCACGCTTGGCTTCTGTCCACGCTCTGCTTGTCCAGCAAGTGGTACTGGAAAACTGCCAGCCATTTACCAGCAACGTTAGTTCTGCACATCGTATATAGCTGGGTGGCCACTGTTCGTATGGCACTAGCGCCACTAGATGGCCCTGAGGAGCATAGGAATTTCCTAAGCTCCTCAGCCTCATCTAGTGGTGCTAGTATCTATACGTTGGGCGGAACGTTTATAAATCAGCCGCCATGTTGTCACTCAGCCCTCCTATAATCAAGAGATCAAAACCAGAAATATTGTACAGACTCCAAGGCCGCAGTTTCACAGGGAGACACTAGGCAGCCAGGGCCGGATTCACCACAAGACCACCGAGGCCCGGCCTCGGTGGGCGGCAGGGAGCAGAGGGGCTGCAGCGGTTTGAAATCTCTCAACGCCTGGGACATGCAGACCTGGGTGCTGTGCGTTAATTTGTTTTCTACATTTAGCCCTGCTTTACACAATCCGGGCTAAATTTAGTGTGGGGAAACCACTTGTTTGTTTACAGGTGATCTTAGCGATGTCACCAAAAGTATACGAATTCATCAGTACCATCTAGGGGTGCTAGTGCTGTGGGGATGGCAACACTGGGTGGAACTTTTATATGTAAACCCCTATGCAAACACTTTTACAAGGCTGCAGTTTTAGAAAGAGACAGCAGGTAAATGCAGCATTGCGCAGAATCACTGAATAATAGTATTGCAGTAACTATCTCTCCCTGCAGACACTCTGATCTCTCCCTGTCTGATCCAGGTTGTCACGGAAACCACCGTGACCTGGGCTCCCGGCAGGTTTTGGGGGCCAGCCTCCTTCCCATTGACTATGGACCCAGGACTATAGAGACCCCCCTCCCCCTCGGACCTCTTGGGGTTAAAAGGAACATTTTCCCCAAGAGAGTTATATCGCTTTGCCTGGGCTCTTTGCTGAGAACTCTGTTTGCTGTGTGTTTAGCCTGTTTCCTACTATATCTGGAGAGAGCTTGTCACTATTTGATGGAGTGGCCCAGGGTTTTCAGAAAGCTATCCAAATGAACATGAAAGCTCCTGATTTTCACTTCGACTGTAATATAATGTACCTTTAAAGGACAAGTGCACTTTCAAAGAAAGTGCAATCATCAGTGCCGAGAACTAGGGGGGACATGTGCTCTGGGTGCCGCATCGGGAAAGGGGGTGTCACCGCAGGCAGGATCAGTGACAGATCCAGGGGGGAAACAACTTAAAAAATACCGCCACTCACACAACTCTCCCTTCTCGGCCGCTCTGCAGCTGTTGCGGCTGAGGAGGAGAAGAATTAGTTTGGCTGCCTTGCTGTCTGCCTGCTTCACTATTCAGGCTCATCCGTGGCCACCTGCAGCTTCCTCAGTCCACCTCAGCTGCCATAGGCTGGGAGGGAGACTGCAGACCTACCATTGGCCGGCTGGACATTTCTGCAGCGTGGGATCTGAAGGGAGGCACAATGAGGCTGCTGGAGGCAACATCACTGCACCTCCCCATCACCACCGCCGCCAGGAGAGGAAGAGGACACCTGAATCAGATCAACTGTGCACTGTAAGTCCCTGTTCTTTCTGTGTTACACAGCTGACCTCTGAATTATATTACTGATCTCTGTACTGTGCGTCACACCTCTGCGTAACACCGTTGATCTTTGTACTCTGCGTCACACCACTGACTTCTGCACTCTACGTTGTTACTGATCTCTGCACTCTGCGTCACACCGCTGGCCTCTGTACTCTGCATCACACCGCTGGCCTCTGTACTCTGCGTCATTCCACTGATCTCTGCACTCTGTGTTACATTACTGACCTCTGTAAAGTGCGTCACACCGCTGACCTCTGCACTCTGTGTCACACCTATGACCTCTGCACTCTGCATTACACTGCTGACTTCTGCACTCTGCGTTGTTACTGATCTCTGTACTCTGCGTCACACTGCTGGCCTCTGTACTCTGCATCACACCACTATTACACTATTGACCTCTGCATTACTACTGACATCAGGCCGCCACCCCGGAGTAAGATTATGAAGCTTCATATTATTCTGCATTGCTGTATAATGTATTGCTGGGATGTGTAGTCCTCTATAGCTGGGGGTATTCTGCATTGCTGGATAATGTATTACTGGGATTTGTAGTCCTCTTTAGCTAGTGGTGTTCTGCTATATAATGTACTGCTGCGTAATGGACCTCCGAGGTGGATCAGTGTCTTTAGACCCACTTCTGTGCTCTTTTCTTTTGGTGCAGTGGTGCCCCTCCTGATCCACCGTGGAGGTGAGGCTTGAAATTACTTAATTCAAGTCTTTCCTTCATGACAGATTATAAGGGGCACCACTGGGAAAATAAAAAGCAAGCCCAGAAGCGGCTCCAAAATTAACAAAGCAGCTATTTCAAGCCTCACCTCTGTGGTGGATCAGCAGGGGTGCTGCTGCTGTTTGGATAGAGAACTTGTCCGTGGGGGAGCAACTCTGAGTCTTTGCCGCGGGTGATGGAATGTCTAGCTTCGCCTCTGGTGCTTACCCTTTCTGACTCCTCCACCGTTGAGCTAATCTAGCCCTCCCTCCGTAGTCACAATTGTGCCCATAGCCTCCACGCTTTGTTCACATCCTGCACCAGCAGATCATCTGTGTGCCATTCATGCCTGCACCGTAACTTATCATATGTTTCTATGGGGCTGCCTCCTGAGCGTTTTGTTTAAAAGTGCGTATACATTGAAGAGAAGCTCCAGTCAGAATGTAAATCTTTATTGCCATGTGAGCCCTTCTATGTGGAGCTTTTCCCTCAGTTCTAGACCGATAACTGGTACTGGAAGTAAGATAAATATCTCTAGAAATGACACAGCTGGAAATAAAACTCTTTTTTTTAGCCGGGAAGGGTTAGAAGTTAGGGTTAATAAGTCAGGAAACTATCTCCAACAAGAGCACAGGCAGAAATAAAAACTATAGTAGGTAGAAAGTATAAGGAACTGGAACTTTTTTCACTGTCTGTAACAGCCAGAAATGAGGGCTATTCTTCTAAGGCAGCTTTCCACAGGGTAATGGCTAAGGGTCTAATATTTGGTTAAAAGTATTTGAATTTATTAATAGCCATGTTCAATAAAAAGCCAACATTCTTTGGGGGTTCAGAGGGGCCCCCTTCATTAGGGTCAAACAGTGTTGCCAGAAGGATCTACTCCAGATGCCCATTTACCAGTCTATCACCTGTGTACAGAAGCTGGAATACACTGAAATTGTGAACATAGCCACTTGTTGAGTAAGTCAGTGTGCATCCACCTACAGCTTCCTCAGAATCTATGTGAGTGTAAGAGACTGCAAGAGTGTGTGTGAAGCATATACTGTATATGTAATCACAAATACAGCTTTTGAAATAAAGCTGGAACATTCTATTATACCGTAGTATTTACTGTGGATGAGCCTGTGACAATTCCCCATGGTTGTCAGCAACTGTGCAGCAGAGGTGTAAAAGTACACGGTCACATTGGCCATTGGGCC